TTTTGTAATTCCCTTGCTGCTGTTTGCCATTCCTTCAGATTTTGAATCATCTGCAAATTTAGTTTCCATGATTCATTAAAAATGCATTATGATCAGCAAATCTGAAGCACTGCATGCAAGTGTGGTTGACACTTTATAGAAGGTCTTAAGAAAACAAGGTAAGAGGACGGGTTACAGGAATGAAATCTGATCAGTCTAAGTACAAGACATCTGACAGGGGATCAGATTGATATGTTAAAATTTTGAAAGAATAGAAACCAGTGTCCATACCAAAATGTTTGCTAATAACTGGGAAGTGGTTAAGTAGTAGAGTAGAGTAGCTTATTGCCTTATGTACACGTACACCATTCTTAATGTTGCTGATCTCTCAGGACATACACAGTACAACAGACAACACTACACAATGTAGACAATAGGAACAATAAATATATTGTGGAAAAATAAATAAATATGTAGTAGTGAGACCAAGAATAAAAAATGTTAGACTATGTAAAAAGTGCAGTGTGCAGATGTGTATTGAGTCTTAGACCTTGCAGTTAGTTATTGTTGAGGATGCACTGCAGTGGGATAGAAGCTGTTCTTGAGTCTAATGGTCCTTGCTTTAACAATGTGGTACTGCTTACCAGAGGGTAGGGGGGGAGAACAGTTTGTGGCCAGGATGGTTGGATCCTGAATGATGGATTGGGCTTCATTGCAACAGCACATTGTGTGGATCTCACAGATTGCTAAATCACATCCTATGGGCCTCTGTGCTGTTACTACAACGTTTTGTAGTGCATCTCTGTCATGCATGGTAGTACTGCTGTACCACACAGTGTGCCACTAGTGGGGACACTTTCACTGGTGCTGCGGTAATAGCGCTGTTTTGCCGTTTTCAGATTCGCTAGTGTTGTGGTTCCAGGCCAGGTAAGTGGAGATCTGCAAGGAACCTCCAGCAGCTGACAGTTTCCACTGCTGTGCCATTGATGCTTATTGGGGCGTGACTCCCTCTGGGTCTCCTGAAGTCCACAATAAGTTTTTTTTTAATATTGACATTGAGGGCCAGATTGTTGTCAAGGCACCATCTTGTAAGTTGCTCTACCTCACTCCTGTATGAGGCACATTGTTGTTGTTGATCAGCCCAATAATAGTAGTGTCATCTGTACAGTTATAGCTAAACAAGGAGTATAGCCTAGGACTGAGACAGTAGTCTTGTGAGGCTCCAGTGTTTAGGATCACTGTAGAGGAGATATTGTTGCCAATTTTCACCACCTGAGGTCTACCAGTGAGGAAATCCATTATCCAGTTGCATAAGTCCAGGTTCCTGAGTTTTGGGATCAGCTTGGTGGGAACAATTGTGTTGAAGGCTGAGCTGTAATCAATAAACAGCATCCTAGCATAGGTACCCCGTCTGTCTCAATGTTCTAGGGCAGTGTGAAGTGCTAGAGATATGGCATCATCAACTGACCTATCGGGGGGTAAGCAAACTGAACGGTCAAGGGAGTCCGGAATAGAGCAATTTATGTAGGACAGTACTACAGTACAGTACTACTTTCCAGGCACTTCATGACAACTGAACTGAGTGCCACTGGATGGTAATCATTCAAGCAAGTTACCTTGGTCTTCTTGAGCAGTGGCACAATTGTGGTTTGCTTAAAACACCCTGGTAGAATTGACAGGGACAGAGAGAGTTTAAAAATGTCTGTATACACTGGAGATAGCTGGTCTGCACAGGTTTTAAGGACATGAGACACCATCTGGGCTGGCTGCTTTGCAGGTTTTCACTCTACGCTGCTCATGTTTAGAGAGCTGTAACACAAAGTCCCCTGGTTTACTGGGAGCCTTGTAGTGGACTCGGTGTTCTGAGCCTTAAATCAGGAGTAGAAGGTGTTCAGCTCATCTGGTAGAGATGCTTCAGTGGAGGAAATACCACTGCTGTTGCTTTTGTAGTTCGTGATATTCTGCAAACCTTGCCACATGTGCCCCCAAGTTGTTTTTCTAATTTGTCCTTGTATTCCTGTTTTGAGAGTTTTATAGCTTTCTCCAGGTCGTACCTTGATATTTTTATACAGTTCTCTGTCACCTGATTGGAAGGCAGCGGACTGTGTTTTAAGTTGGGCACAAAAGTTCATCCAAGGCTTCTGATTTGGATATATCCTGATCTTCTTGGTAGGAACACATCTATCCACACAGTAGTTGAAATAGGATGTGACCACCTCTGTATACTCATTTAGATCAGTGGATGAATCTTTGAAGGTACACCAATCAGTAATTTCAAAACAGTCTGTGAGTTCTTGCTCAGCAGAGCCTGACCAGCCCTGCATGGTCTTTACTGTGGGTGGCACGGTCTTTAGCTTCTGTTTGTAAATGGGAAGGAGGAGCATCGAGGAGTTGCACTGAGTGTTGATGTGACACTGAAGTTCGTCATTCTTACTGTCCAGCGATTGCACATTTGCAAGCAGGATGCTGGGGAGCTGGGGCTGGCAGGCGCCCTGCTGGAGCTGCACTAACACGCCACTTCTCTTACCCTGCTTCCTTTTACATTTGTGTTCCTGTTTGCTCTGTGCTTGAGAAGCAAAGACGTGTATGTTCAATTTCACTGAAGCTAGATCCGAACCTCTGAATCTCAAGTCCAGTGTTTGTCGGTCATGTGTAATGGCTGCACATGTATTTTTTTGCATATTAAATGAGACATAACATGTAAATAAAATGATAGAGCTACACATGAGATGTGACCATTGATGATATAATGATAACACAGGCCCTGAAATGGACTGGTGCAGGGCTGCCCCATGACCCTCAATTGGATGATGCAGTTAGAAAATGGATGGATGGTTAATAGCCAATTTTACACTAATATTAGAAAATACTTATTACGTGATCTGCATTATCAATTTTAAGCTTGATGCTATGATAGATTCACTCTATCATAGCATCAAGCTATGCTATCATAGCATCAAAGCTTGTGCCAGTGTAGAGGAAAATAACAAGCATTGATAGGATAAATGGCCTGTTATTGTCATGTGTTTGTAGCAGCAATGCTTGTTAATAAGACAGAATTAAGTGTTGCTGTGCTTTCCCAAATGAGGCCTCATCTCTCTGTTCATCTCTGTGGTGCAGCCACAGAGAAACTATTCATGCAGGCTGATTTAAAGATGTTTTCTTTTGATAAGGGACAGCTCCCAAAGGGGGATGCACTAAGCTAAGCCTGGCTATCATGATCAATGGTCATCCATTGGCGCCTATCTGTCTAGGGAGTGCCAGATGGACATCTGGACTGCATTCCTAGGTGTCAGGAGTAAATGACTCATATCTCACCTTGATCAACCAGTCAGGGACTGGTAGGGCCGAGTAACCCACGTGGGACTCTGATGCCCATGAAACTTTCAGCCAATGAATGAGCTGAAGTTCCTCCAGGTAAAAACAGGCAACACAGAGGGCCTGAGAGAGAATTCAGTGGACTTTTCTAAAGGGAATCTTTCCTTTGTTCTAAGAGTCTAAAGAGGAGGTTGCCAGAGAATAACCAGAGGATCCACCTGAGGTTAGCACCAGCAGCAAGCCTCGTGAACAGGTCAGAACTGTGGACAGCTGAATCACTATTCAGAACTAGCTCTTCATCAGGAATGAACCGGTCCTCTTCCTGACCTGCTGGGACCCACAGTCATCTTTTCTCCTGTGCACAAACTTTGCTAGTTAAAGCCAACACTAACTAGCCGGTCAGTGAGCATCTGCAGCGCACCGTCGCAGACCGCACAGCACAGGCTGGCACCTAGCCAGACAGCGCGGATTGGACAGCAACAAGCCTGCAACTGCTTCTTAGAGTCCGCAGGAGATCTGAATCCCCAGAGATTGGATGAGTATTCAACTTCACTGCATAACTGCTCGAGAATTCAATTGTTATCCCAACCGGTTTATATCAATTTAATTCCTAAGGGTTATGTACTTGTTTTGAGTATCTAATGTAGAAGTTATAACCAAGTTCATTTACGAAACGGTCTAAATGAATGATATACTGAATGTATGTTGATATATGTAACTCTTCGTAACTGAATGAATATATATCTTTTGTATTCTGATAACCCTCACGATAAGATCGGTTAGGTTTATATGCATATTTTATGTATTAATAAATGTATCCTCGTGTATTAGTACCCGTGTGTGTGTGCGTTGTTTGAGTTATATCGCATGGTTGGATTCTAAAGCCATCAAAAGAATCAATTTTGTGATTTACTGCTACAATTAATAATTGTCCCAGTAAATGCCAAAATCCTACAGAACTGGTGCCTTCAGAGAGCACACTACATGTTCTTAAGTTTAATAAAGTTATTGTAAGTAAACAATAATGGGCTCAAAAAGAAAGCCTTAGGTGGATCCGTAAAAAACAAGGCTAGACAAAAGGGCGATTTAAACTGTGAGTTACAAATCCAAATCACAAGAGCAAAAATCGTAAACCATAGAACAAGCTAGGAAGCCAGGCAGCGAACAAATGAAGGAGAAAAGAACACGCACTAGGGAGCTCAAGAAGAGAATCCGCAATAGTAAGCAGGGAAGTGAGAAAAGAGGGAAACTGATATAGTGACAGGAGTGAACTGTGATAGGAAAATTAGTTGCAGCGTGAGTGTTTGTTTAACACCGTGTGTGTGGGAATGCGAGGCCGTTTAGCATTTAGGAAAGCGTGCAGAATGCATAATAGTTATAAATGACTGTTTAGGTCGTATATACATCTCACAAAATTTAAATATTATTGAGTTATATAATTTTTTTATCAGTTTATTCAAAGTTCATTAAGCATCTAAAATATTGAAAGTATCTTAATTGTTTATAAAAAACAGAATGTTTAAATTAAAAACAGATAACCTTTGCATAATAAATAATGTACATTTCTTTCTTTTTTATCTTCTGTATCTCAAAAGGTTTTTTAGATGATAAACCTTTTTGTGCAGATAATTGGTTCCTGCATTTTATCCAGTTGTTTTCTTAATCACCGTTAGAATTATGGGAGTTTAAATACAGTTCTTAATTACTTGCTCTGGAATTACTGTCAAGTGAAACTACAGGTGGTATGCTGTTCAAGTCAACGTAGCTGAAGGGTTCTGCGGGAATACATGTACACGGTGTGCCGCACTTTCAGTGAGGATGAGTCCTGCCTTAAAGTATGAATTTCCATTATCATTGAACAGTGGTGATCATATTGCTTTCTCAAATCATTGTGATATGGACCTATTTTTCTTATGCAATAGGAACATGCAGATCCTAGTATGTCCCCTTGTCCATTTTCAGACTACAGTACAGTGCTTGTCTTTGGCATAGTTATCTACTTCATTAGAGGTTTTAATTATTATCATTAAATTTACTCACAATCATTTTTACAATTATATTTTTTAAGAAGCACATTTCAAAATGCTCCAAAAAAGGGTTTTTACCTTGCTGTGAGTAGGTCTTCATCAGGGAGACATAAGTCAGTTCTCAGACCACTTGTGGACTCTCCTGTTTGTGCTGTAAGGTAGGGTTAACTGTGTAGGTTTCAGAGGGTGTGTTTCTAGCAGTGGATCAAGATAATGACAGGTGGTGATTATTACATTGGAGCTTATAAAGAAAAAAGGACCATCTGTATTTTTGACTTAAGAACATAAGATTGATTTAAAAAAGTGAGCGCCACTAGACCTTGTCTTGTTCTTTGTTTGGTGCTAGTTTATTGATCCAATGATTTTGTTCAACATTTTAAAAATACCTTAAAAAATCTGCTTCTATGACATTGGAGGACAGTCTATTTCAGGCACTTATCTTTAAACCCTATATAACCCTATATGTAAAGATGTGGTTCCTGTTTTCAACTTTAAAAGATTACTCTCTTAATTTCCACTTGTACCTTTGGATCCTAATTCACTACTCATTATGAGATTATACTTTGGGTTAACTTTGTCAATATCTTCCATGATTTTAAAACATTGTGTTGTTTTTCTTAACAATGTGTAATAGCCAATTAAGCTATGGTAAGTATGATCCTACTTCATCCTGTTGGCTGGGTGATAGGAACCACAAGTTAATGCAGCTGCTCTGTGTTTGTCCCAGATGTTGTGGTTGTAATGTGAACTCCAGAGTGAGGTAATGCCAGAAGTAGGCCAGTTGCAAGGAGGAAGCTCACCAGCACAATATCACAGTCATGATGTAAAAAGAAGGGAAATACCTCCAAAAAGACTTGTACAGTATGTATACTGCACTCTCCAGATTCTTCATTCCAGTGTACTGTAGCTCCTAACTACCACTCCAAGTCCTGTTATTTTTTTATCTCTTTTGTTTAAATGAATCTCATAGATCACACCTTAGTCTTTGCTACACTTGACATCTCCCTCAGTGGCAAAAAGTGACTCATTCACATTGCCTTTTATGAAAAATCTTATATTATTATAATAATCTAATATTATTGAGCAAATAACAGAGCTCAGAAGAGCATAAATTATCAGTGTGTTGCAATACCTGTTTCTGTGTCATAACCATAGATTTTTTCTTGGTTATCATCTTGACAGATTTTTATTAGTAAATTCTAAAGTCTGCATCACACCACTTTCAAAATTGATTTTTTATAACCTGAGTTTCAGTAGGAGGGTGGTTTTCATCCATGGTTATCCTTTAAATATATTTAATAATAAAAACCTTTGGTGCCAGGGATTTTTGCAAAATTATTAATTAAAAAATGTACACTATGAAGAGTTTAGAGAATTAATCTAGCGTTACAGTTTTCAACTTTATTTGTCATACAAATACAGCATGTCTCCCAATTGTAGGAAACGCCCTCGGTTTCACTTCTATGATAGCTTTTCAATTATGTGCTATTCCACAATAGTGGACTGTCTGTTGGGGCTTGTTTTCCTTTCTTTTGAACTGTAGTTTATTTCATCCTGAAGTGTAAGAATTGCATTTCTTAGCTTATCTGAGGCCTGTTTGTCTCCTGAAGGTTTTTTATCATTAAGGACAGCTTCCTGCAATACTATGCTGAGAATGAGAGGAAGAATTTTGAGACAAACAGATACTTCAACATTCATCCCAAGGTAAGATGACAGATTCTAATTCTGAGGTTTAATTAGGACAGGATTTTTTAGTACCAGACCAGGAGCAGTCTTCTCTCTGCTGGCTTCCTTTCCATCTGTGTAGCTATTTACTTAATGGATTTCTTAATTAAGCTTTTAAAAGTTTTACTTCTTTACTAAATTAGAGATTTGAAGGTGCTATTATACACACTGTTATACATGGTGCCATAACAGTGATCGTTTGATGAGTCACTGTTACAAACATACCTTTACTATATCGGTTACTTTAAAAAACAATTCTCTTTATTATACAGTACGAAAAATGATATCTCAAAACTAGCAAAAAAAACCCCAACAAGTTCCTCTTTGATCTCTATATTTACTTTGGAGCTGGTTTTGTATAATGTGCACTGGGTGTTTGGTAGACAGACAGTGTTAATTAACTGTTGCGATCACTAGAAAATAAAAAGGCACTTAAAAATACTGTAGCATTTAGAACTCAAAACAAGTCGCACAAGCTTACAGGGAGTTGCTGTAAAGAGACAGAGGGATCAGATTTATATGTATTATTTCATCTCATTTTCTAACCACTTTTTCTTGGTGAGGGTAGTGGTGGCTGAGCAGAGCAAACTTGACAGACTTTTCTTGCCTGCCTTGGTGATGTCCCGCCTTCGCCTCCTGAGTCATAGAGCAGCTTCGAGGCCATCCGGCAGTCATTCTCCATGGCCCCTCTGAGCCCCTTCCATACCCATGCCTTTTCTTTAGCAACCACTGCAGCTGGGGACTTCTTGGGCTCAATACCTCAATATTTACTTGTTCAAGTTGATGGAGCTACACACACTTTTCTTCATGCACTCAACTGTGTTCTTCATTCAGTTCAGTCTTAACTGTAAAAATTACTGAAACAGCTGCAAAAAGTTCCCTCATAAAAGCTTTGCACAATGTTCATCATGGGCCAGAGAACAAAGGGAATTACTTAACAATGGTTTGAAATGTCTTCATCATATCTGAAAGTCAGGCTCACAAGAAATTGATGAACTACTGTATCTGCATCTCCATTCTATGCAATGCATCTAGCAATGCAGATAAGCACTTGCTAAAAAAGTGGAAAGCCTGGATTTAAAATATTATATATTTCCTGTTATTATAAGAATGAGGACTCACTCTTTTATTAATTAACTTAGCGATGTTACAAGTTTTGAATTCCATTGCTTCTTGCACATTTCACTCTTGGTGAAAACATATTTCTTTGAGGGCCTCATGCAATCTTTTTCCAAGTACTCTGTCTTTATCATTTCTTTCATGGAAAAGTAAGTGATTGAAGATTTTCAACTGTTATTTGTGGATACAAAATGTCCTCTGAAAAAACAGGTGAAAGATGTTTAGGAATGCAAAGGAAGAAGAAATAATGTTACAACCAAAGAATGCTTACTTATTTTTATTGTCCTAGATGGGAATTTTAATTTACAGGCAGTTAAAAGACATAACACAATACATTTAACTGATGAACCCGTTAAAAAATAAGAGACTTACATGTATGTTGAGAAAGAAAATATATATTTCGATTGTTATAACTTTGATTGCAAAGGAGCAGGGCAGAGAGACACATTATAAATTCACCTTAAGAGCAAAGGGCAGGGGAGAAGAGAAGCAGGAGGAGAGGAAAGCAGGAGAGAAAGGAGAGGCAGGAGGAAGAAACAAGGAGAGCAGGGAGAAGAGAGAGGGAGTCCAGAGGACTTAGGACTCAAAGCTTGTGCCAGGCGAGAGCTCCTACTTCATGATCATCCAAACAAAACTTGACTGGAGCTAAGTATTTGAACATCAGAGTGTGCTATTTTGTGTTTTTAGAGAACTTGGGTTTCCTTGGTAAAAGACACCTCAGTTAGAAATGTCTTTCCTGATTAGGGTGCATTTTAAGGATAAGGATATAGGCCCCCATTTATTTTATATTTCCAGGATGCAGAGAGAGAGATTTAACTGCGGGTTGCTTTGTATTTAGTTAGAAGGCAGCTCATCTCTTGTGTGTCCTTTGTAGGCATATTAAGAGTTTAGTACTTAGTAGCAGTCTTGGGTTTTCTAGGTGACCAGAATGTTAGGCCTCTGAAACACCTTGTCTGTGAATACTGTATATACAGTAAAATGTTTTGTTGTGTGTTGTCATTGTTTTAAAATATATGTCCAGCCCCATTTATATAATATAATATAATATAATATAATATAATATAATATAATATAATATAATATAATATAATATAATATAATATAATATAACTTGGTATATTGTATGTTTTGTGTGTTGTGTAGTTTATTATAATAAATATTTGTTTTAGCCAAGTGTGCCTGGATTACTACTCCTCTCAACAAAGCTGTGCCAAAGAAGAGTTGTTGTCCACCAATAATTTTGCTGGCTACCTTTACAATCCTGCTCAGTCTGTTTTTATTGTGTGTATCGGGGATACCAAACCAGGATGCTACAGTGAATGTTAGGACAGATTCAATAAAAAGATCTCTAGAATAAATTCTTTATTGTAGATCCCTCATTAAATAGGAGGATCTGTCACTGCTGCCTCTTCTTACATATGGCATCAGTGTTAACCTCAAGGGTTTATAATCGACAATAGTGCCAAGATATTTGGAACTGTTGTCAATTTTAATTTTTTGTTCCTCAATGACTGCTAGTGATTGCTTTTATAATCAATGATCATGTCTTTGGTTTTGACACCTTTTCTGATGTTGAAGGAAGAAGCTGTTACTCAATTCTACAAAATAATTCACCACAGGACCCATCAGTGTCTATGTTTTGGAATAGACTGACAATGAGAATCATCAGCAAACTTAATGAAGTAGCATACATTGTTCCACAAAGTAAAATTGCTTCTAGAAAGCTAGGTTCTGTCAGGTAATTTGTTAAAAACTAGTGTAGAATAGTTCCATAGCAATTGCATAATTACTACACCATTGCACATTATACTTTCCAAACTGTAGTGTGTTTTAATAATAATAATTACATATTTCCAAATCCAAGGACATTGTACATAATGATAAAGAAAATGGCTCACACCCGAAGAGGGCTCCACAGCTGAAATGCTGTGGTTTCTGTCTTCTCTTTCAGCATAGAATAACCCTATTATTTGTTTCTTTGCAGCCTACGTACTGTATGCTGACGCAGCTAGCCACCCGAACTAAAACAAGATGTTCCCTGACTTTCAGATAAGAGCAAAACCAGTTAACCAAGTATAGGTAGGGACTGGATATAAACAACAAGAAGTTGTTTTCAGCTGTTCATATATTTTAAGTTTATCTGAATTTAAGATTTATTAAGAAAAATCTGATACAGAAGGAATGTCAATTGAGCTAAGGTTTAAATAATTGTCTGAATCAGGAACAAGGCTAAAGCCAGATAATTGTAGATTTATAGCATCAATCTTAGATTGAGAGAATAGCAAGATTTTACATACAAAACAATGGCAGAGACCAGCAGGTGTACCATAATAAACACAATACAAAGCATAAAATGATACAAGGTGTCTACAGTTTATAAATCCTACTTTCTATAATTTGTTCATATTGATCATTTTCATTAAGTGAAACATCATCACATATTGTTTGTTGATGCAACATTTAGACATAGTGGGATCAACACTGTAGAAACATGTAATACATTCAATTTAAAGAGCTTTATTGGCATGGCAAGTGAATTACAGATAGAGCAGATACAATTAACACAACATTTAAAGACATTTAGAGTACAAATATGTCATTGGATCATCATATCATTGTAATCACTGTCAACGAAGCCGGGTGGAGTTGAACTCTAGTGCATTCACATTTGTACTTCTAGCAAATGGTGGTAGTGCTTAAGTCTAAAAATTCCAGTTTGACAGAGTAGAAAATAGTTTCAACTTAGTCAATTTCAGAAGTTATTGGAGCTCCTTGTGGCCATATATATATGACTTTTTATTATCTCCTTCTTGGTGCTGACCGCAGATCAAATAGCCTATCTTGCATTTTCAACTAATTAGTCAGCAGTACACCACAAGTCATGAAATAAGTCTTTTAAATGTCTGCTACAAAGAGAACAGTTCGAATTACTGATAGTAATACGTAGGTTATGTGTTGCTTTTCAAATTGATTAATTGATAAAAAAACATGTTACATTAGGGAACTTCAAAGAGCAGATGAAAGAAGATTTAACATGCCAAGTCTAAGCTTTAGCAAATGAATGCACATATTGTAGGATAATAACCATAAAAACACATGAGCTGCATTGTATTAAAACTGTCTCAAATAAGAAAATGAATAAAAAGGTTTACAGAAGAACACAATATGGTCCAGTTGCCATAGATGTTCATGTAAAGGGGTTCATTGGTTATTCCTTCCTCACTCTCTCTACTCTCAGGTTGTGATCCCACTGGGAGGATGTGTTGTTGAGCCGAAAGAGGAGCAGGGCATGCCATTTGCCATGAACATCTCTCATGAGGGCTTCCATTTTAGTTTTTAAAACGTCTTGTTTACTATTGTACATTTTGTAACTAGTGGATTTAAAAAACGTCTCAAGCTGCTATAGTGTTTACTTTTAATTGGATTTAAGATTTGATTTTAAAACAAATCAATTCAATATTTTTTCCTAATTCCCTTCTGATACTAGCCCATTGAATTGTCATGATGGATGTCCAGATGCATCAAAGGACAGATATATACTGTATATACAAGTAATAATAATAATTGCTTACACTTATATAGCGCTTTTCTGGACTCTCCACTTAAAGCACTTTACAGGTAATGGGGACTTCCCTCCACCACCACCAATGTGCAGCACCACCTGGATGGTGCAAGGCAGCTGATGTGCGCCAGAAGACTCACTACACCTCAGCTAATAGTGGGGAGGAGAACAGATTTATGTAGCCAATTAATAAATGGGGAATATAAGGAGGCTATGATTGGTAAGGGCCAATGGGAAATTTGACCAGGATGCTGGGGTTACACCCCTGCTCTTTTTGAGAAACACCCTGGGATTTTTA